AACTGACATTTCAAAGAGGCGTTATGGGAATTATGCTGACCTACTTTCTTGCCCTGAGTTACATAATGACTCTCGTATAATCACATCGTGCGACCCGTGTGCTATGACAGTAGCATGTGCTGCCCTGCTCTGGGATGGCATGTCGCTCTAACATTCGATCGAACTTTCCTTCCAGTGGCATTAGCTGCTTCACGTTAGTCGGGCACCTTTGACTCGCGATCAGTGCTTCACATCAGTAAACACGTTGGCGCTGACCTGAGCTGACAGAACAGAACATGACTGTGGTCGGTCCAATCAATAACCAAGACCTGGAGCCATCTAACCAAACGGAGGATTATTTTAACCTCTGGAAGCGCTAAACGGTACATGCTGTATCAGACGGGTTGGTCCGTTCGGCATAGTCAGGCTTGCGGTTTTGCTCACCAACACCACACTCATATATTTGGCATCACATTGGTGGCGATCGTCTTTAATTTGTTAACCAGGTTTTCTTCTTCAGACTGTGCTCACATGAAAGGAGGCATTTAAAGCATCACGTGACTCTCCTCTTCTTCACCGCCGACTTCAGTCAGAGGAACAAGTTGCTATAATGGAAAGCTGTGAGGAATATTTCAGTCTATTACAGCAAATCAGCGCGCTGCTACTTGGTAATGATGCAAGAGAGAAATGCTGGTAGAAAACTGTTCATCATAAGTTAATATATTTATTCCACCACTCAGTCACTCTCTGTCCAGCTTATTTCTGGCCTGACAGCTGCACACTGGAGCCCTTTTGAGCTTCATACATTTAAATACTGAAGAAGTGCTCTTAGGTCTGACACCATCCCATAAACAACATCACTTCAGTGAAATTAATGTTACTGATTAAATATTCTCTGTGATAAATACAGATCGACTAATCAATTTTCATTAGCAGCAGCACTGGCAGGCTGAAACGGATTTAGCAGCAAATCAGAACCAAGTACAGAAACATATTTATGCACATTCTGCATCACTGCCTGAATGCATGTAGCTTCCCGTGACAGTGCAGTGCACCGTGTGTGATAGTGTAGCTGCACAGCTTCAGAGGTATTAGTGATGCACCACTTAACAGGTTGGCTTTTGTTGTTGTCTTAAGTATGTCTCCTCACCGACGCCAGCCAAAACACCGATCTCCTAAAACTACAAATGATCACACGGACCTGTAGCTTAATGGGTTCAAGTTTAGTAGTCAAGGGTCTGTAGGAGCTTACCAAACATGATCATTTGTGAATTTGTAGACTAATCATGACAAAATTTCATACAAATGTCATAGTTTCACAAACCAGAGGAACCATTTCTGTCGACTTGCAGGATGTGGCTTCCTGTATCAATATTCTTCATTAGAATCAGCTTCTGGTTGGAACATGTTTGGCTAATTTACTCCAATAGTACAAGCTGCCGTTGTGTAGAGCAGAT